AGCCGCTGCCTTTAGTACAGTATCGTTACAGTTAGTAATAGTAGCGTATGTAGGAAAGGGAGAGTTTACAACTCAATGTAATTGTAGAGCTCAGGACTACTTAATTTGGATTGGTGATTATAGCTCTAAGATATACTCCTGTATATCTAGGTATTGAATAAAGATAAAGTATCTTAGTTTGGATTTGTAAGACTTAGTTGTATAATATCTTGTATAATTACTAAATAAATAAAAAGTGCTTTTGATACAATGTGACGGAAAAGTCGTAAACGGAGTCAATTCAATCACTTAGAATCTAAAACTAAAGAACTAAGAAGATTCTAAGTAAGAAGGTCTTTATATACAGGGCTAGTGCACGTGAGCCACTAGTGGGTAACAACCGTCACGTAACATACAAGTAAAAATTTTAAATTGAAACTATTTTGCCAAGTGTTTATAATTTAATAATAATTATAAATTAACTAAAATCTAGAGTTTTCTAATAATCAAATTCATATATATTAAAGATTTAATTTCTTATAACGTGGTTTATCAGTGGGTCGGACATATCAGTGGGTCGGACACTTTTTCAATATCCTTTACTCTCTCACTTCAATACGCGTTTATTCAATAGTTATAAATGGAAATTCATTCAAAAGAAGCACGAATAGTCCTGGCTATTGAGGCTATCGAATTGAACAAAAGATTGACGATTCGAAAGGCTGCTAATTACTATAGTGTGCCTCGATCTACATTATTCGACAGAATTCAAGGTCGTAGTAATATAGCTGAAAGTCGACCAAAAAGTCATAATTTGACTGAATTAGAAGAGAAGATGCTTATTCAATACATTATTGATATGGATGATAGAGGATTTGCCCCTAAATTAAATAGTGTGGAAGATATGGCGAATTATATGCTTGAAACACGGGGTGCGAAGAAGGTTGGAAAGCTCTGGGCTCATCGCTTTGTAAAACGACGTTCAGAATTAAAGACGCGTTTTAATCGTGTCTATGACTTTCAAAGAGCTCTTTGCGAAGATCCAGAGCTTATTGAAGAATGGTTTCGATTGGTATCGAATATGCGGGCGAAATATGGGATTCAGGATTGCGATTTCTACAACTTCGACGAAACAGGCTTTATGATGGGTATAATATGCCCTGGAATGGTTGTAATTAATGCTGAACGAAGTGGCAGAAGCAAGGCAATACAACCAGGCAATCGAGAGTGGGCTATAGCGATTATATGTGGTAATGGAGAGGGTGAAACTATACCACCATTTTTAGTGGTGCAAGGACAATATCACCTTTCTAATTGGTATATAGAGAGTGATTTTTCTGCAGATTGGGCTATTAAACCTACTTCTAATGGATGGATGAATAATGAGATAGGTTTAGAATGGTTAAAGCATTTCGATAAGCATACTAGTCAACGAAGAAAGGGCAAATATCGAATGCTAGTATTGGATGGGCATGAAAGTCACGAATCGATACCTTTCCAGTCATATTGCAAGTCAAACGATATTATATGCATAAAGTTACCATTGCATTCAAGTCACTTAACTCAACCACTTGATATTGGATGTTTTAGCGTACTCAAACGTTCATATAGTTGTCAAATTGAAGGATTTATTAAGGCTTATATTAATCATATTTCTAAAATTGAATTCTTTATAGCTTTCAAAGCTGCATATCAACAATCGATTACTATTCAGAATATAAAAGCTGGTTTTCGAGGAGCAGGTCTAATACCATTTGATCCTCAATCTATACTCTCAAAACTAGATATTAGGATTCGTACTTCTACCCCTCCATCTACCTCCTTGGAACTTACCAATTTCTGGATCTCTCAAACCCCTCACAATCCAACTGAGGCTCTTTTACAATCAACTCTAGTAAAAGCTCGAATAGCTCGTCATCAATCAAGCTCTCCTACACCTATATTTGAGACTGTGCAAGCTTTAGCTAAAGGTACAGAGAGATTGGCATATGAAGTTACACTTTTGAGTGCTGAGAATCGTATGCTTCGAAGAGCAAATGAAGCATTAAGTAAACGTCGACACACTAAAAAAATTCAACTATGTAATGGAGGAGTACTTACTGGACAAGAAGCTGAAGATATATTATCACAACAAGAGGTTGATAATCAGATTCAACGCGACGAGCGTCAAAATGGGGGAAATTCTAATAGGGAATCATCTACTAGTCGATGCTGTAGTAAGTGTGGAAAGACTGGTCATAATTCAAGAACCTGTCAAAATAATGCAATAGATGCTAGTTTATTAGATTCTTAATAGTTTCAATCGATTCATCCAATTGTTATTGAATAATATAGTTTTAAAGTGATAAATCGAGGAAAAAGTGTCCGACCCACTGATATGTCCGACCCACTGATAAACCACGTTAAATATATTTCCTAGATAAAGTCTTTGATATTGTATTATTGTGTCACGAATCACGATTATTATAACACAATAAAAGCAAGTACGGAGGTTTGGGCCGCTGTTTCCGAGGGGGTCCTTATCGATAAGGAATCCTAGGACAAGTGTCCTAGGATAAAATATGTCCCAGGATAATTAGTATCCTTGGACAAAACGATTAGGCAACTATGTAGGCTTAGGACAAGTGTCCTAGGATAATATTTGTCCCAGGACAATTATCCTAGGAGCTATATTATCCTAGGATTAGAATCGTCCCAGGATTAGTGTCCTGAGGCCTTTAAAGGATCACGCGATGGATAGACTGGATAGCCTAGTCTATCCAGGCTATTTAATAGTATTTAGAAGTATATAGTTAAGATAGTTTCATAGTTTAGGAGCTTTGTGCTCAACTTAGTTATCAATTAGTTTATCTACATTCTACTTGATCTAGTAACGACTTCACTTCCAAGTGAATACCAGTGATAAAGCCTTAACCCACAACTACCAACCAGACGAAACCTCAGGCAGCCGCTGCCTTCAGCACAGCATCGTTACATATTGATTGACTTGAGTTAAGTTATAATTAATTTTCGAGAAGTAGTTTCGAAATTGAAGGATTATTTTCTTATATCTAAGCTAAGATACAAGGAGTGTACTTAATTGAGAGTGAGAAATCTGTCACGGTAGCTCGCGTAATTCATCCATACATTTCAAATGATCATTCATTTCCCACCTCATCTATCCCCCCATCTGTCCCTGCATGGGTATAATACCAATATCTCATTCCCTTGGGGATCTCTGCGGTCACCAATTCCTTGTTACGAGGGCTGCCGTCTAGATCACGTGGAAGTGCTCTAGGCTCTCGAGGTGGTTTATAACTAGGCGTCAAGCAGGGACTTAAGTAATGACAATAATGATATGCAATTCGTAACTAATAGTAGAGTATACTAAATGATTGATCTTGAGCACGAAGCTCTACAATAAGGAAACTCTTTCCAGTTATATAGACCTTCGTACTATGCATCCCACTGCCCTTTATCGTCCCATCAAGGTGGGAATAATTCCCACCATAGTGGGATTCCTCAGCTCAGTGGGAATCCTTGATCACGTGCCTTCGATCAGATTCGATGTCTATGCTTGCTTATAATGGGGAGACCACATGAGTCAATTGCCATGTAGTTTTATATGTGAATCTACTTGCTTTTCCAGATGGCCCGAGCTCGTATGGACAGATCAGCTGTTAGCTCGTAACATTCCTCTTCCCTGACTCTCGCTTCCGCAAAGTTCTAAAATAAAAAAATTAACTCCATTGCCACTACAAATGCATTATATAGTGCAGATAGGCTCGATCACGAGTGCAAGGAACGTCGTATCAGAGGTTTTCTACATGCATCTCCTTCATTTTTGAAGGACAAAATGCAAACAAGAGCTGGATCTGCCGCTTTGATAGGCACGGTTTTTTCAGATCATGCACGAATTGTCACTCTTTTACAAGAATCTGGTGCTTTGTTACTGTTTAAGGTTAACTTGTCTGAATTTGCATCAATGAGATCTTTGCTGTCTAATCGAGAATAGAGAAGCCTGCGAGGATGGCGCAGGATACAATGATAACGATAGCATATCCTCTCTCAACAAACGCTCGTACGTAACAAGCAACGGTAAGACGCTGTGGACATACGACAACGTAGACATTAGTGAGTCTGAAGAACATTGAAAGTATTTGGAAAGGCGTCCGTTCCAGGTGGACCACGTCGAAAATTCCTACAGTTACAGACTCTACTAAAAACCCCTATCTATGGGGCGAAAAAACTCGTCCTCAACAGTCGACCCTATTGGCCTGGTTTGAAGAGTCTAAAGGAGGATGGATTGGAAAAACTCGCACTCATAGTTGGATTCACTTTGCTCAAGGATGAGTGTTCCTCGACTGCTCTCAAGTACATACCAGCAGCAAGCTTTCCCAAGACCAGTTTCCAAGTGGAGCATATTCGAGAAGTCAACATGCTCGACCAGTTTACCCGGAGCCTCCTCACGGGTGTTAAAGTATCTGGTGAAAGGATGAAGCATACTTTTGACCCCCTAGCAATTGTGGCCGGTTGGCACAAGTATTATGATGTGAGTCTTCCACAAATTGGAGCCACCGTTAAAGACGCTGCCGATTACACCATATCTAGAAGTTTCAATGATCGCGCGTTTGAGACTATTGGATCATACGCCTATCGAGCAGTGTTTCATTCGTGCCGAGGCCTCTCAATTTAGTCAAGAAAGCGGTGTTGATGCACCATTCACCATTTAGAGTGAGTCCTATCAAGTTCTTGAACTATCTCGGCAAGGTGGCCAAAGATGGAGATTAATCTGCCCTGAAGACAATTTTCGGATCTATGCAATTGGTAAGCCCTATTTCCTGCTCTATAACCTTGGCCGTTCTTTGCTGATATCGAAAACCACAGGTGATTGCAGTCTTCAACTACCTCAACGACTCAAACCTACATAAGGGGTTCATTCACACAGGCCGGGCAGGAACTATCCAAAGAGATGTCTTATGCCAGTCAATATATCCCCGAGCTCAAGAATATTGACCTGGCATGGGCGGAATGGGAACCGGATTTCTATGCTGCAGCTGCGTCACACGCGACTAATTGGCTGGCAAGTCGCTCAGGACTGATTCAGCAGAAGTTCTCTAGTACTGGATCACTGTCGAACCCTGCTGCCGTGAGACTCGTGTTAGAGGTTGCTTTATTGGTTGCCCAGTCTCATAGAATCAAGTCTCCTGTGGCGCCCTAGAAAGAAACTTGAGGCGTTTTATTTTTCTTGTATAGTGTTCCATTCGAATGTCACATGATATTCAAGACTTGGGAAATTAGGCTCAATTCAATTGTGTTTGATTATTTCTATTTTTCACCTGTAGAATATAGCGGGGCACATTTCTAGAGGCAAAGGATATTAGAGAAGAAATGCTCCTAGGTCTCTCATTAGACTAATCTAAGTCTAAATTACAGATGCATTTTATTTATTTCAGAGAGGTTTATTTAAGCTAGGGTAGGCTGGCGTCTACAATATTTCAAAACCCTTGATTAGTTTTTTCTTGATTATATAACTATAGAGTCTAGTTATATTGTATTAGGCTCAAATAGTATAAGAGTAGAATAGTTTTAATTTTTATAACATGAGAGTAATTCACCGTTAAATAAGTTTAAATAAGTTTATAGAGGAAGAATTTCGTTTTAATAAATAATATAAGTATTTAATTAGATTGTGATCACGATCGGTTCACAATTTTCGACGCTAGCAAACATAACCCAACCCCTAACCGTCCCGCCTTATTAAATGGGGGTGGATAAGGTGTGCATTGCGAATACTACCAAAGAGTCACTAGTTCGGACTTCACCTCACTTGCAGGTAAAATTACATTAATTACTTATAAATCGAAATTATATCGCAGTTTATTAGTCATACAATGGGCACAAAAGAAAATATATTTACAAAGGAATGTTTTTGTATTTTTTTTAAATAGGAAAGACAAAAGAACTAAGAAAAAGTTACTTAACCTATCCACGAAACAAAGGAAAATCAGCATTGAGACCGGCTCAACTATGCCTTACTTTCCCGTTCACCAAATCCTCACTTCTGGATCCTTTCACACACAACTGCAGAGCAATCATGCATTCAAGTCACCATCAATGATTCTCTGAATGAGTTGAAAAAGTTCATTGCTCTTCTGCTGCAACTCACCCTTTCCAGTCCAACGATCCGGATGCCAGCTCAATCGTTCCTTCTTTATCATCCTCTCATCAAAGCAACCGCTTCCTCTGAGCGTCGCCTCAACCTCATGATGACAAACCCCGAGAATTTCCCCCTTGACACAGTTTTTTCGATGACAACCGTGTTTCCTGAGTCGAGGAAATTCCTTCGTGTTGCCTTTGATGAAATCCTCTGCTGATGAGGCAAAATCATCGAATGCTTCTCCGTAAGCTTCACGATCTTCGTTACCCCACAACTTGACGTATTCCCACTTGTTCATGTCGTCGAGACGTTTCTTTTCTTTTCGGGCGGCGTCTTCGGCTTGTTGGCGAGCCTTGTGACGTTGTTGCTTGGCTTCGGCTTTCTGTTCCTGCTTTTTTTGCTTGGCGCTCTTCGATCGATCTGCACATTGGAAGAAGTCAGAATTGCCAGAGACTGGTGGAGGAACTGGTGATGCGGCACGACGGCGTTTTCCGGATGCTGATATGTTCTCCTCTACCCATTCGTCGTAGGCTCGATCTTCGGCTTCGCGTTCTTTGTCGGTAGGGACGTCTCGGCGATGTCGACTTTCCCTGGATCTCCGAGGTCGATGTTCTTGCTCTGTTTCTTTATCCGTCTCGTCCTCGCTCAAAGGAGAGTTGGTCCAAAATCTTGACATTTTGGCTATTGCTGGTTTGTCTGATCTAGATCTGGACTTAGAAGTGTTTGAAGTTATTCTAAATATGGATTAAAGTTTATGTGAGTGTTGATGTAGTGAATAGATGAATGGTGATAATGATAGATGCAGAGAAGAAATCATGTCGATGTTTATACCCAACATATTGGAATTGTTCACCATCAGTTTCAATATTGAATACAACTTGATGTGAAAACTGCAAGCTGAATAATAGCATTGTTAATGTAATGTATAATAAAGGTCTTTGTTTTAAGGAATTCTTTGTTGAATTGGATCAGAACAATGCAGCATCAATTTTGAAATAGCATTAGGTTTATGTTAGTGAATCATAAACTATGAAGAATGGGCTTTAGCGTTGTTTCTCCAATACTACGCGTAATGTACCCCATTTTTATACTACAGCTCTCTTTCCTTCTCAACCATCTCACTTTCCATATATATTCTAGTTCCAAGATAATCTAATCGTAATTGGATTAGTTCAGCCCTAAAGCTTTCAAATGGCAGACACTTACTAATAATAGAGTCATAGTCTTGTTAGGTACTAAGTAAGACTTAGACACCAATTAACCGCACCCTACATACGTTCAAGGAAATGTCTATCTTTAGCGAATAATTAGTCAGTGAGGCCAATAAATAGCTATTCTTGCGATCAAAGTAGAATGTTGAAACATAAACATACAAAATCACAAAATCACAATATTACCTATCTGCTCGTGCAGATTTACTCCAAATATTTGCCAGTAGTAATAACATACAAATAGGAATTCATAAAGAAAATGACACACCACAAGCGACAGAATATTTAGCTACACATTTAGCCTGTATAGATGCCGAAGACCTTTGAAGTTTAACAGGTGAGGCTTGAACGCCATACGCTCACGATTCCAGAGCATCCATCAAGAGGATACGCCAGGAACATACGGACGGCGTATCCAGGTAGAGCTTGATCATGCTAAAATTGCAACAATGGAGACATTATTTTTTACTGTTTGCAAGAAAATAGAGCCAGAGTGTCAAAACCTTGACAGTGCAAGCGTACAATATTGTTGGGTTGACACATTGAGAAACAGACTTTCTGAGGCGCTGCTCACCCGATGCTGAACGCTAACACCCAAGGGGGAAAAAAGGCTCATGTTGTCCTTGCAACACCTAGACCCGCTTTAGTGTATAACAAGAATGAGATATCGACATATATCTTCGATTATCGGTATTATAACACTCAGCTACTCCATCATACTCGCTAGAAATAGTTTCTCGACTTCACTTCCCGTTCTCAACCAAAGACTATTCTCCAACAATACTTGTTTAACTACCAAGCACCTTTGCCCCTCCGCACTAGCCAGGAGAAAAGGCGCTGCTAGAACAAATCCCCAATTTACCGATCAACCTCCACTAAACACCCATACCCGATGAAATGGGGCAATTACTACTTAGTCCAGTGTCGAAATTTCAGATTGTGGACAATCGATCAACTGCCTCATCCATCCCCAGTCCAATGACCACTTTATAATTAATCAAAGAACCGCAGAAGACAATGATTCGACAGGTAAATCAGCGATTGAGACAAATCTACGCGGTAAGCGATGCCACATATATTACTTTTGCCTTTAGCAATAACAATATAAATATTTCAGCCATAGACACCTTTATCTGCACTAGGGGTATTTGACCTCTTGGGTCATTTACCCTCCCCTGTAGAATATAGCAGAGTATTACCCAAGTGTCCAATACTTCTACCGGTTCTTACACCAACAAATCCTCAAAA